TTTTTTTTTTTTTTTTTTTTGGTGTGGAATTAAATGTAAATATAATATCATTAAAATTTTCATTCTTTAAAAAAAATCCTTTTATGGAAATATGTTTTTTAATGAAAAAAAATTACCAAACAAAATTTTAATATATTTTTATTTCTTATAAAAAAAATATATAAAAATCAAATCTTGACAATTTATCATTTTGATTTTTCTTGAGTTTTTGTGTTGAAAAGTTTCCTTTAGAAAATTTCAAATTAAAGACTTTATTTACCTATGAACCTAATATTAATATATACACATAAATCAAAGTATTTAGGAAAAACGTTTAAGAGATTTATTACATTGCCTAAAATAATAATTACAAAATTAAAAAACAAACAAAATCGACACAACTAACCCATAAAATCAAATATGTCACGATTTGGAATCATATTTTATAAACTTTGTTTTTAACGTACATGAATGCTCGAGCCAACCTGCCTAACTTTATAATATTTGGGTATTAACACAATTGGTAAGATATTAAATCTTAGAAATGTTACTGCCATAGAAAAACCGTTTGAATACTAAGAAAACTCGTAGGATATTAAATTAACCCTGAAACATTTGGGTGTCAACGAAATTAGTAGGAAATTAAATCTTGGGTAGGTAGCCGTCGTAGATGAATCATTTGAATGCTAAGAAAACTCTTAGGGTATTAAATCGACCTTGCATGTAACAATCCAAGCTCACCGCTAGCAGATATTGTCCTCTTTGGCTTTCCCTTTCAGGGTTCCCTTCAAAGTTTTTAAAACGTGTCTACTAGGAAGAGATTTCCACACCCTTATAAACAATGTTTTGTTTCCCTCTCTAACTGATGTGGGATCTCACAATTCACCCACTTTAGGGCCCAGTGTCTGGCTTTGATACCATTTGTAATTGTCAAAACTCACCGATAGCAGATATTGTTCCCTTTGGGCTTCCTTCAAGGTTTTTAAAACACTTACACTAGAAAGAGGTTTTCACACCCTTAATTCCCGACTCCAATCGATGTGAGATCTTACAATCCACGCCTCTTCGAGGCCCAACGTTCTCGCTGGCACTCGTTCCTTTCTCCAATAGATGTGGGATCTTACGTTGCAACATTTGGGTGTCAACAAAACTTGTAGGATATTAAATTCTAGGTAGATGACCGTCATAGAAGAATCATTTGTATGCTAAGAATTCTCGTAGGGTACTCAATCAACTCTACAACATTTGGGTGTCAACAAAACTCGTAAAATATTAAATCTTAGATAAGTGGCTGCCATAAATGAATCATTTGAATTCTTAGAAAACTCGTGAGATATTAACTGATCCTACAATGTTCGAGTGTCAATGAAATTTGTAGGTTATTGAACTCTAGGTATATGATTGCCAGAAGAGAATTATTTGAATGCTAAGAAAACTCGTACGATCTAAACCAACCCTACAACATTAGGGTATCAACGAAACTCGTAAAATATTAAATCTTAAAGAGCTGACTACTACATTAAAAAAAACGTACTTTTTAAGATCAACGTGAGAAAGACATGAAAGAGGAAGGACGTGTCCCATACCTATGGGACACGTCGTAAGAGAAGTGTTTGAGGTATGAGCTTTAATGGATTCTAATTTTCAATATAATAAAATAAATTTCACGACACGTGGAGAAATATGATTAGCTGGACTTTTGATTTGTTTAATGAAAATACAAAGTAGAATGAAATTGTAAGGTCGTGTTTGGAAACGGTCGTTGTGATTGTAAATTTATATTATAAAATATTTAGAAACTGGAAAGTCAATTGATGTGCTGGCAGTTTGCCAACAACCAAATCTTTTTTTTTTTTAATTAATATATCTAATAAAATTTTAATATTATGTCATATATGTTTTTTAATATTTTAATTTTATATTTAATAGATATTTCTTAAAAGCCTAAAATCTTATTACACATAAAATTCAATATTAAATATTAAATCTAATAAATTAGTTAATTTTTTAAAAATTGATTAGGTCAAAAATTAATAAATCACAAAATTAAAATTTAACAATTTTTTTTAGTGTCTTTATATATATTTATATTTTTATATTACTAAAAAATTTATTAAAAAATATGTGATTGAAAACAAAACATGTTAGAAAGAACCTCGTATTGGTTTGTGGGAGAGAAATAAGTAACGTGATAATGTCACAGAGGGTGCAATGTGTGTGTATGTGCCCTTTTTGTCGTATAAAATAATTGACTAATTATCATATTACAGCTTTTACGAGATCAAGTAGAGGGATGCGATGAACTAACGAGAAATTATTTTGCGTTAGGACTTGATTAAGGTGAGAAAAATTAAAAATTCGGGAGGGTTTGTGCAAATAGGAGATTATATACGTAGAAAAGAAACGAGTTTTTCGAGATTAGGGTTTTTAAATAACACTTGATTAAAAATCACGAATAAAAAAAAAAACACCCCGACACATATGCCTAAGGCTAATGCTCCATGTGGGCGCATTCCGAACGTGGTCGAGAATCCTCATTTAAATAGAGAACGAGAGAGTAGAGAGAAATTTCTGACCTTAATTAGAAGTCAAAGATAGACATTATATTCATCCTCCTGTCTTCAACTTTATTTTATATATATATATATATACGCGCTACCTTTATATTTCTTTCTTTACTCAGTTAGTAAGTAAATATATATATTATTTTATATTTTTAAATATTATTATTGAATTTATATCAATAAACATATTTTTTTAAAAAAGTATATAATAAAAAGATAAAAGAAAAAATCTCGAAGATTGAAATATATTTCTCGTCCCGATCTCGGGTTAAAATATTAAAATATTGTGTTGTTTAATTGAAATATTAAAAACATTGGTGTCCTCCGACGTTGTACAGACACATAATGTCTGAAAAATGAAATAAATAAAAGAGACAACCTTAATCATTTGAACCTTTTCCTCATCGTGACGGCAAGATTGATGCAAAATGGCAAATATTCTATATTTACATATTTCATACGCTATTTCTTATTAAAATGCTATTTTAGTAACACATAAACATTATGTTATAAAGAAAATTGACATTACCTTCATTTTCGCATGCCCGTTGTTACAGTCATGCTCGTCCAAGGCGTGTTGCCCATGACAAGCCTAACCCTTTATATCTTTTTGTTTTACTTTTGTATTTCTAGAAAGTATGACGTTTCAGAAATATCATGTCTAGGCCTGTCAGACATGAAATGCCTCTGAATGTTCTATAGGGGGATAGGACTAGTTATCAAACTTCTCCCTACCTAAGGTTATATACTGTGAGCCGTTGTTATTTCTCTCTTGCTTGCTTATATAACATCTCTTTCAAAAATCTCTCTCTACCCTCGTTTTCTAAAACCTTCTCTTAAAATCGAGGTAAGAGGCTCGAGCATATGTCGCTTGACTGTAGGCGACGCAAGAACGAATTGGCTTAGCTCACTTGTCGTTGGAAAGTGAGTGCCGCACAATTGCGAGTCCGCTGCCATCAAAAGTGCGATTGTGATACTCGTTACCGTCCATCGTTACCAATCATCAACGATCGTTACTAGCTGTTGACAACCGCCACCTCTCACTACTGGCAACCAACAACGATCATCATCGACAATTATTGTCACTATCGTCTGATAAAGAATCAACTCAAGGGAAATCTCCGATACCAAATAATAAGGAATCATTACAAGAAAAATAAGATTTGGATTACTTTGTTGATCAAATACCTCAATATAAGAACACTT